TAAACGGGCTGCGAGTATGCCTGACCCCCTCTCTGCTTTGTTTCTGAATAGGATTTTGTTTGGCACCAGGTAATTTCAGTTCCTCACTTACACTCTCGAGTGTTTTCACGGAATTTATTCTTTCATTCAAATCGTTTCAGAATAAAAATTATGTGTGAATGCTAGTATCTTATACTTCCTTCATAATTTTTCAACAAGGTACTATCATAAATGAAACAGGTTGGTAAGGATTCTGCCGGAATCTGGCAAGCCGGAAAAAATTTGTTCGTTCAGGTCCTCTGGCTTTTTTTCCAGCATAACGGAAAAACGTTTTCCTAAGGCAGCTAGGCCTATACCAAGCTGACTTTGAACTTTCAAATGAGAGCAGCAGAATACTCTGTTTAGACAGATCAGACTTTACTACGGGGTTAAGTTTAGGGGGGCTCAAATTGTTCAGATTCTTGGGGACACCATATGCTGTGAATAAAGATTGTGCTTCGGATTTTTTCAACCCGTTCGACAGAATTGTACGCCATCGTGAAACTATCTGCTCGTGTAAAGTGAGAGTATGTATTCCACTGTTTTCAGGATCGTCGTGTAGTATTTTTAAGATTTCGTCCGGCAACGTTGGCAAGATAATGTCATTATGAATGACAAGTTCATCTCGTTCTAGGCTGTGACCTCCCGACACCTTATCTGGTATTACTGAAATGTTACACACATTTTCGTATTGTCTGTTATCTTCAGTGTTAGTCAGTCGCTACACACAGCAACGCTGAAAGATCTAACCCCGCACGAGTTATAGGTGAACGTTGGCTGTCATTACTCGATTGAGAACATACGTCAAAAACTACATGCTTCGGAGACTGTATGCGATTACGATAATTATGGCGTGAATGATACACCCGATAAGATATCATTGATGGTGATCTGGACCTATGTTTCAATTCGGATTCTATCCTTTCAAGTCTTTCCAGTAATGCAGCGGAATCAACACGACTCCTCTTTTTGTTCCCTTCGTCTGAAGACGCTGACGAAGTTCGTCTTCTCCTACGTTTTTTGTTTCTCTATCGATTAATTCGCGAAGTAGGTATATACAATGAAAAATCCACTGATGAGGGTTTTTTATTGATGATTTCTCATTCACCTACATCATTGAAATACCTAAATGATACAGGTTTCGACTATGTTTTGTTTATAATTTGAGTCTCACCTATATGGCTTTTCGTATTTCTTAGATTAATATCATTTAAATCTACTGTTCTGTTCCTAAATGTCAAAACATAGTATTTACCACTTTTATTTCTGAATTTAGCGAGTGTGACAACGAGAGAATAAAACTTGAAAAAAAAAATACCGTCATTTTGAATTTCCGAAAGAAGTTTCATTCTCTCTTTTGACTTCATAGGCAAATTCAATATTTTCACTACCTCGTGTTCTTCTTTATGATAACTGTATAAATGCCGAGGAAGTTTTTATATGAATGTTTTTACAGTACATGCAAAAAATGTCTGGTCACATCTTCTGGTATTTGAATTAGTCACTGTTGCCACCATACATACTTCTGCCGAAACTGAACTATTATTGTTTAGTTCAATATTATTCAATAGTGTAGGGGAACATATTTGGTTCAGCTTTTCATCAGAAGATTTAGAGTTCTTATCAAAAATGATTGTGTAGGCGTCAATATTTTTGGAATTCTCATCTTCGTTTCTTGCCATAAAGACATTAGGATTTGTTTGAAGGGTCACATCACTAGTAACTGATTGCGGTGAACAGTTATCAAACATGTATGTACTAATTATATTCAGAACTTTGGGGTTTTTACCGGGTTCAACTTACGAATGTGTCTTATTACGGAATGAATCACCATCTGTATCACCACTGTAGCTATTACTTGGTCTATACTCTGATCCTGAATCAATGAAGGGTTCTTCTTCTGAAAAGCTATAAACATTTTATATTATGTTTCACTTTCGCAACGACTTCTCATTGGTGTCTTTCAAAAATGAATCATTTTGATCCGCGTTCGTTATGTTTAATTCTGTCTGTGAAATATTCGTTATATTCTGAAGTGGTGTTATTTTTTTTTGTAAAAGAGCATCTATATGAGTCAGTCTGCTGACTTCATACTCACTACGATGGTATACATTCATATTTTGATTGCTTGTAGGAACTTGTTTTGGTAATGATATACCACTTGTCATGATTTCGAAAGTTGAATCTGAGCAATTACCTATATCATTGGATAAATCACTTATATTTTCCATTCCTTATTTTATTATGAATGAATGATCGATTTGCCTAAATATGGAAATGAGGGAAATACTTAAATTTGTTAAATTCATGGAATTCAAGTTTTGTTCCACTTCTGTTTTTTTTTGTTTTTAATTACNGGTTCAAACATGCTCTGCTATTTCGGATTTGCTGGTTTCTCCTTGCTGTGTGTGTTTCTTGTGCTCAGCAATGCGAACTTTCAATGGCCTCTTAGTTTCACCGATGTATGATTCTCTGCACTCGTAGGGTATCCGGTAAATGCAATTATTGGAATCGCAGTCCGCGTTTGGTGGCCTGGTTTTTGTGAGGCTGCTACGGATAGTGTTCCCAGATCTGAAGCAGGTCCTGATGTTATACTTGGACCCAATCCTTCTTGCAGGTTTTGCTTGCTTCTAAGGTTTTTGTCCGAGCGATTGTTAGATGAAGAAGTAGTTGAATCGATAATAGATGTTATTGTGTAGGATGGAACTGCAGGGTCTTCGCAAATTATATTGATCTGGCTAATAAAGGACTGCGTTTGTTTTCACCTGGTTCTATGGAATGTAAAATAGTCGTGGGGAGTCATATATTCCTGGAGTATACCCTTAACCAGTTGAAGCAATTCTAGATGTTTCCGCTTGACAGACTTTTCGAGTTTCCAATTCTCTTTGGCAAAATGTGTGTTTCGTGGAGATTGTAAACTTATCGCTTTTTCTTCACTGTCAAAAAGTGGGCACAATTGGTGACTCAACCGTCGGTTCAGATAGCAGTTGTATTCTTCTTTGTGCTCCTTTTTTCCAAGTTCTGGAAAAAAATGTGGATTTCTGACTGTTCGTTATTTTAAATAATTTACTATCCTCTGGAGAATATGCAATCTTCCACATGTTTCCTTTTCCTGGTGTTTCTACCCATAGCTTCCTCTAGAGCTTCTTTCACGGTTTGTTCATGTGAAAACGATGAAAAATAATGATCGACAATTGTTTCTTTCCTCTTACTTCCCCTCACATATATGACTACGGAATACCATCGTCCATCTTCTGTCCATTTGGCTTCATATTCATCACATCCCTTTTGTCTGAGTCTTGATGCAAAATATGGTTTGCATACCATATTTTGTTATCTGCGAATTGTACCAATGTCCATGAATCACAACGTTTCCTAGATATCAGCTGAGAACATATCTAACAATGGAATCTAAATGAACATAACGAGTGAGCTACGATTTGATGTATGAGTATTGAGTATGTTGCACTCAAAGGTCATTGAAATTGAACAAACCTCTGTTTTCAGAGTATCAAGATACGTAGAGAAAGGAAAATTCTGTATAGTTTAGCGACTATCGGCATTGTGAAAACCGAGGGCGAGAAGGTAGGAAGTGGATATTTCATGCTTTGAGTACCTGGACAACCTTCTGCAATGACAATTGTCACAGTGACAGTTTTAAATTGCAACAAACGCTACACCATAACATGTAAAGACTATTCCAATGGCTTTAGAGGTTTTATTATTCTTGTTCAACATCTCTTCTCAAGTGGATCGGTGGAATTCAATATATTCTTAAAAAAAATGTTATCCACAATTCTCGATTCGAATTTAAAAAGAAAAATGTTTTTGTTAACGCCTATACTGATGAACCTAAAAAGTATTTAGTCTAATCAACATGTAGAAAAACGTGAAAAAGAGAAATGAAGCTCCTAAAAATATGAGCGATAGCTCATTGGATTGGTAATGTCCAATAGAAAAATGTATTTTAGGGGTTTTACCTCACGTAAAATAATTCGATTTTTATTAACAAATGAAGATGAAAAAAAGTATTCAGTTTTTTTGTCAATAACTCAAGACCTGTATAATATCTGAGGTATTTTGAGAAAAGATCCTTCAAAGGAATCAAATTTTCAATAGAACTGTCTCAACTTCCGGAACACTATTACCATTATTTATAACTTCAATTTAACGCTAAAAAAGTGTTCCACGAGACCATTACGGCACGGGCGCACCAATAGAGTATATCACAAAAAAATGTATCTACTATCAAATGTTGTTTTAAAAATTTGAATAATATATGGTATCATGTGGACACTAGAAAGAATTAGTCCTTCCTGTATGACGTTCATATAAGACATTTTTCCCGATGAGCACAAACCGTTTTTGTTTATCAATTTGGCCTTTAATCGTATTGCGGTCAATTGATTAGCAAACAATCATTTGTTAGCAAGTTATTCATTTTATTAAATGAAATTTATGAATATTTCACAGAGTTTTATTCAACTGTAGAACAAAACTGAACAATATATTTTTATTAAATCAGTGAGAGCAATAAAAAAATTCCGTGCAGAAGAACCATTTTGTTGAGGATGAATTCACCGCAATGGATAAATTGTTGGGTTTTTTTTGACAACGTTTTCTTTGTCTTCATAACATTTGATATCTTTGGAGAGTTCTCGCAGTTGTCCGCCGAAATCTGCGAGGAGTTGTCTGTACTTTTCAGAAGACATTTCAAAAATGATAATTTGAAGAGAAATTGTCTTACTGATCAAATTAGTTTAGAAGGGGGAGAGCGGCGCTTCTTGTTTTGTAAAAAATGAACACAATAATTGTGGGGTATATGTCGTCATTGGTGTGTCACCACTAATTTTAAAAATTGTCAGCTATTGTTTTTTTTTCTCTTACTGACGAACGGTCAACGATGTACATTTGAGATACCCTGTATACATCTCGATCAGGTCTTGAACAGGTCTCGAACAGGTCTCCAACANTTTATGGAAACTGAGATGGATTATGGCTTATATACCTACTATCATTTTCAGAGTATTCTCATACTCTTTTAAACTCAGTTTTTGATTTCTCCCTGACCAATTCATATTCAAAGCCAGATCATGGCTTATTAATTTCGAAAGTAGTTTTCTAACAGTATCAAACCCATCTCTGCCTCCGACAACGGAAAGGGATGAACACTGAAAATATAAACAAAAGAATTCAAAGAATTATTATTTATTAATGAAAATGGTAAAACTTCAAATCTGTAGGTTTTACAATTTGTAGGTAGATATAGTATGTTCAATATCGTGATTCATCCACAACAAATTATTTTAGGTTCTAACTATACTTACAATTTCTGAAAAAGTTAGATCATTCTTCAACTCTGTATCAAATTCTATGAGTTGTTCTTGTGATGATAATGGCATCTTTTGAAGAAGCACATCATCATTTTCTATTGGATCACTCTCTTTGGAGGTGTGTACTATCTGGCTGAGATATTGGACATCTTTGGTAAGAACCTCAACTTTGGTTGATACTTGCCTAACTAAAGCTGTAACGAATAAAGAAAAACATAAATAATTATTAACAATAATTGCATACCTAAACATACTTGTTTAGCACACTCAAAACGAATAAACAGTCTAGGATATGATACACCCCAATGCTAGTGAGGTTTTGAACTTAAAACTTTTAATACATTTTTTCTTTTTGAGAGTGTGTTGTAACAGGGTTCTTAATTCTAGCTATATACCATTTGTTGAATTTTGACAAATATGTTATTTTAACAAATGATTAGGCTAAAATTAAGGGTCACAGTGTAGCACACTCTCAAAACAAGGCAGCTAATGAGATCATTAGACAGAAAATTCTATACTGGAAGAGAATTTCTCACTAATCAGCCCTTACCACTTACTGCAACCCCAAGAAAATATTTATGTACACATACACACTTGCACACACAAAAATACATACATATCTATTTTTGCCCAATTTTTATCACTTACTCTCAATCCTCCTAACAGAGTCGTATATGTTCTTGAAAGTATACACTGGTTCTGAAGTTAACTCAAGTGCTTCTTGAAGGCTGCTTCTTTTCAGATTGCTTGTAGATGGGGTAATATCAATATTTGTCCTATGTAAATTTAACTTTTGAACACTTG